AAGTTAGAATTTCCAAAAAATTCAAAAAAATCGATTTTTTTTTGTATAGGAAAAGTGTTATATGTGATAAATTTTGAAAATTTTCAACTTTAAAAATCTATAACTATATAAAAAAAAAATATTAAAAATAATTCATTTATTTTTTAAGATTTCAAATATAGTAAATTCTTATATAAGAGATTTTTAAATCGATTTTTGAATTATTAAATAAATTATAAAAGAAATAAGTTTATATGGGAAAACGACTTTTTTGCAGGGATTTTGTTACAAAAAAGGGTAGTGTGTGATAAGCCGGAGCCTCAACTCTTACATTTTTGGGTATATTACTATTTTATTAACTCTATTTACTTTTTTGAAATCTCGTTGCTCATCTCAGTTTTTATACGAGTTATTGTGCCGGCACCTCCATAGACCCTATTGAATATATTAGTATACACTGTAGAATATTTGCGCTCTTCTTATATTCCACGTAGAGATGATAGTTAGAATGAGGTGGGACACTTACATTGCTGTGTAAACCTGGGCGACATTTGCACCTGCATTCAAAACCTCTAGTGCTTGCTTTCCATTCGTGATGCCGCCAGTAGCGAAAATTACTTTCTGTTCATTTGTCTTATTGCCCGTGAGAGATTTTGCCTTTTCGGCGATAGTGGATATAAGACCAGCGTCGTTTGATTCAGTAGTGGTATCTTGTTGCGGTGGTCCTCGGTCGAGTAAAGCTCTATATCTCTTAACCAAAGAGAGTGTTCTCTCGAACATTGGTGGTCCGGAAAATCCTCCTTGTTCTTCAAGAACCCTGCGTTCTCTGGCTGAAATTCTGATATCGTCTGGGATGAGCTTGTCTCTTCGGTTTGTAGTATTACCCACAATTATACCGTCAACACCGCTTCTCCAAACAGCTTCGACAATACCCTCAATTTGCTCGTCTTGATCTTCATCGGGTGATACCTTGACCATAACCCTAGGCTTTGTTTTCCGATCTACGGATTTAGCGGCCCCGACCACTCCTTCTAAGATTCGGGATAATGGTTCAACTTTTTGTAATGTCCTCAAGCCAGGGGTGTTTGGGCTACTGACATTGACGACCAAAATATCGGCATACGGAGCCAATCTCTCAACACAGTGTACGTAGTCTCTCTTGACGGCCTCAATGTCATCACCGTTGGTATTTTTATTCTTGGCAACTTGTACGGCCAATAATTTCCCGTCCAACAAACTTCCTGGAGGAACACCGGCTTCTCCATTCAAAACCATCTTCTCAGCATCTTCACCTACACCCAATCCATTTTGATATGCGAAAAAACGAACCCGTTCCCTCAATCGCATAGCCATATCATCTGCACCCTTTGAATTAAGTCCATATCGATTGATCAAAGCATTCTGACTCGGTATACGGAAAACTCTAGGTTTTGGGTTTCCATCTTGAGCAAGTGGTGTACATCCGCCGACCTCGACAATCGCAGGACCCATAGCAAACAAGGCATCTGGAACCTCCGCCAATTTGTCAAGCCCCGCAGATGTACCAATTGGATTTTGTAATCTCTGTCCCCATACTTCCACGCTCAAATCTGCCTTATCTGTATTACCGTTTCTGAAACTTCGATCGCGGGGATGGAGACCGAATGAATAGAGTGTTTTGAGAGCTTTGGTTCCTACATGATGGGCCTCTTCAGCATCGGGATATATGGCACGCAATGCAGGAACCACAAGCCATTGGTGAACGCTAGCTCGGGTATCGGTAATATATAGGTAGCCAAAGCCGAGAGCGAGAGCTATCGAGGTTCCAACGAGGAGATTCTTGGATCGGGTAAGAACTGGGGATGTTTCGGCAGTGGTTGATACGAAGCGTTTGGTAGATATACGGGATGGAGAAGAGGAGAGAATTGGTCGCGATGTACGCAGAGTGCGCAAGAGAGGGCTCGACATATCGAATGTCTGTCCGGGTACGAAGGAAATGGAGGGACGGATTACTTGCTAACGGGGATGTTTAAAAATGTTGTTCTATGCGTAATAATTAATCTGTCTTCGGGTAGGTGGTTATTCCGTTCCGTTCGAAGCTATCCACTTCACTTCACCCCACGATCTTTGATGTTTACCCCGAGCATATCAACACAACGGTCATGTTTTCATGAATTTAACAGAAGGTCTTTTTGTACAGGTATTTCACGGAGTCGAAAACCTACAAATGATCAAGTGCTAGTACATTTGTATTGGCTTTCTAGAAACTGATTGATTGTCAACTACTGACTGCCACAAATCACCTGGTCGGTGATAATCGATGTCAATTGCCAACCACACCATTCCATATTCACTCAATCTATCTTCGATGAGATTGATCCAAATTTGGATCAATCTCGTGTGACTTTCTTGCTTGTTTTCTAAGTGGACAAGAACTCTAAATGGGATGGAGAGAGCAAGATTTGATATGGGCTCTATTTTGCTATTGTTTTGATTGAAGCTTCCGACTCTTTCTCTTGGCTGAACGCTGGATTTCTGTCATCGAAGTGGCTGGAAGATTGGAGAGAAAAGGAAGTGATGTATCTTGGAAAGTTTAAGAGCCACCCTTTTGGCTGATATCTCTTAGATGAGTGATATAGAGATACAATGAGAGGAGTCTCTTCTTATTCACTTCTTCCTTTTTTTCTTCTTCACCCCCTCCTCTTCTTTGAAATCTCAATTGCGCTCTATTCTGTATGCTTTCTCATTTACAATTAGACTCGCCTCTCCTAATATGCTTGGATCTACTCGAGTATTACTCCTTTCTCTTTCAAGACACGTTTATACCTTTCATAATTTATGGCTTACACAAGCTGTTCAACTCTGAATATTTGTTACTCTTTCATCCATTCTAATTCAATCAACGTAATTCAATATGACAAACAAAATCTCGGGTTTCTGTTGTTCTCATGCACCATGTGACGGTAGAGTCGAGTTGTTGTTTCTTGTCCTGCCTAGTATGTGTGTCCAATACTATCCTTCACACTGCTCATCTAGCTTTGTAAAACAAATCAAAACTCAAATTAACAAAATTCGATATTCACTAATACACTCACCTGAAGTTCATTGAAACTGCCTCACTCATATTCACTCCTACCCGTATTACGAATATTCTTTAAGGAGGGGGCTTTGCTTCTAGAAATCCTCTTCTTGTTTTCTTCTAACATACAACCATTTTGAAGTTTAATTTTGTGTACAAGACCAACTTTTTTTCATCAATTTTCATTTCACACAATTCAAGGCATCAACTCAGGTCTTGTTAGCTAGGCCTCTGACATCACAATGGAGAACCTCCCTGAGGCAAAAGTAAAGCAGGATCAAATCAGAACGATGGACAAAAATTCAACAATTACAGTTGACATGAACCCAGATGTCAAATTCTGGTTGTCAAAGTTACACGCACTTACAGCAACTCGGTATGAAAAATTTCAAAAGCTTACAGACATTGATGTTTTAAGGGAGGAAGCTCATGTTAAAAACCGTATTTTGATCGTGAGTATCAATATTTGATCAGCTTCGAGAATTCAATGCTAAATTCATGTCTCTTGTAGGAAGATAACATGGCCAATTTCAAAAAGGAGTTCCCAAATGCTTCAAGAGCTTTGCTGGCTGAATTTCGGAAAGTGGCTTTTGAAAATAAGACTCTTGACGACTTGAACGTTGCGCGTAAGAAACAAGAGATCGTTTACACTGCCTCCCGTGATGAGCTAGAAGAGATGTACAAGACTTTCAACAACGTTTGTTCATCACTTTCACAATTCCACCGGTAACAACAGCTGACATTGAGTAGCTCTTCCCGAAACACATCCCCCAAGATGTTCAAAATCGTACGATCATTAGTTTTCCTGCTACTGAATTCGAGAGGATAGTAGCATTCTTCCAAATTTGTTCGCCTGAGGATGTTGCCAGGGAAATCTTTACACACAAGGCATTGCCAGGCTTCAAAATCTATAGCTGTGAGAAGAGCTTCAATAGAGACGACCTTCCGCCATCATACAGAGCGCAGGTCGAGCGTGCACGACAGTTCCCTGACAAGCCAAATCGCTTTATCTCATATGATACCCCAGGAGTTACTGAGAAAATGCGAAACCCACAACGCAGAAAAGAAAAGGATGTTTTTACTACTACCTTGGAGACTGTCTGGGTTTACCATCCAATTTTCAAGAAATATGGGCCGCGTGTTGGTCAGCAGGTTTTTCACAAATACGCAAATGGCCGAGACCATGGCTTAAAATGGAGAATGATGATCTATGTTGAGATTTCAATTGTTGATGTTGAATGATTGAGTACTTTTGATCCAAACCAGGGAAGACTCAGGGAGGATGACATTTCATTCTATTTTCCAATAATTCAATACAGTGCAGAAAAAGGGATCTTACAAAGTTAAACAAATACGCAATACTAGAGGTAGCACTTCTAACAGTCTTCTGTATCAGGATCTCGACTACTCTGCATCGCATATGAAAACTCTATTTGGGACAAATCTCGCCTTGATAATAAAGATTCCTTTTTTTGTACAGATGTTTTAGGGTTTACTTTGTTTTTTGGGAAAGGCATGGCTTGCACAAGATCTCATGTTTGTGTTTCTTTACTTCAGTTGTCTAGTAATATTAAAAGATCAAAATAAAATGCGGCTGTTTTATGAAATTGTGATATGGTGAACGATGGTAGTGACTGGGTCCTAAAACGGATGTTACTCCCATGGCTATCTATCTATTCTATGGGATGATCCTTTTTAAGCTAGATATATTCATACGTAATTGAGTTGTTAAATTCATGGCGATTAGTTTTGGGTTTTTTGAATATGAGATCTTTTTTACTGGTATCTAGAATGGCTTTGATACCAGGTGTCTGAGGGATAGAGTGCAAATCGTGTATTATTGTAATCAGTAATGACTTTTGATTTGCCTTTTTTTGTAACGAGGTTGAATCTAACTGTCCCCCCGAGTCAAACGACACAAATCGATAGATTGTGCGATCCCATCCAGACAAAAAAACCTCTATTATTTCTTACCCACTTCAAAAGTCTCATCGCTCCATCCAAACCACTTCTCCATCCGCTTTCCCATCACTCCCAACATGACTGTGTCCACAACACGCTCAGGATGGGGTTTGTGGAAGACTATCTTACCCTGTCCAAACCATGGCGAGCTAGTATCAGGCTCGAATTGAACGGCTGATCCTCCCCTTTCATGGCGAGCTATAAATCCAGCCTCGGCCATGGCGTTAACGAGAGAGTCCCAGGGTACTGTTTTAGTGCGCTCCTCGAAATTTCGGCTCGGGAACATGGTTTGGAATATGGCATATGAACTCTTTTTGACAAGTACTTTAGGCGATGGTAAAGGTGCAGAAGTTGCAGGAGTTGCGGCCAGTTCACTAAGTATCTCCACAGAGTTCTTTTCGTCATCTGTGTTGGGAAGCTTCCTGGTTTTGAATTTAGAGCGAGTTGGAACGCCCACTTTCTCTGGCTTTTCAGTGCCCCATTGCTCTTGATCGATAAAATTTCCAAAAGCTGCAACCTTTTTCGCGTGTCTGGCTGCTATCTCTGTGTGTATTTCAGCATTTCGCTTCTCAATCGATGCGAGGTATTCCGAGTCACTATCCGCAGATAGAATTGCGAGATCATGGTCTATATCTTCTTGGCCGAAACCTAGACGACGGAGAGTATATTCATGACGAACTCGAACTTGCACCCATATTTGACTAAGTGCCTTTCTCTGTTGCTCATCATTATCGAGCCATTGCTGGCTGAGACGTGTTCCAGTTGGTTTTGGTGTCTCCATAAATATCTTGGTGGGGTCTGCTAATAACTTTTCAGCCCTGATTCTTTGGCTCTGGCTTTCCCCCATGGGAATAATCGCATCGGGGAGCCCGGTCACAATATTGTAATTTCTCAACAAGTATTGATCCTCCAAATGTTTTTCGATGTAACGCCACCCACGACCATGTTCGAGTTTTGCAACGTCCTCGGCTTCTCGTCTCTTTGCTCGAGGGCGATGTAATCGTACCATCTCAAGCATTTGATACATTGCTGCAAGGCTAGAGACCACTGCAAATACAGTTTCATCCAGTCTAGCGAGCTCTTTGAAGTTTTTGGTTTCATGGCACTTGGCCAAATGCTCCTCGAGCATAGCAAATATCATTGCAGGCGTAAGAGGAGAAACTTCCTCGAGCTTACAACCGGGGCTGGTATCAAGTAACAACATCGCCAAGCAAAAGTCCAATCTGTCTTTGGAAAATTCGGGGTGGGAGACTGTGTCTCTTCGCTGCCAAGCAGGAAACGTGCCATAATTACTGGAAATAGTGGTTAGTTTGTACTCTCGCAAATACATAGGCAATAAATAACCGAGGTATCTTGAACGCCGGCGGATTTGATCCAACAACAATGCTTCGAGCGACCCTAACGCTGCATCGTAAACTTTCGAGAAAGGCTTGAGTGGATCAAGGCTCTCATTCAAAGAAACTTGCAAGTTCTTTAGTTTTTCAACCTCGTCTACAATCCAACCCCAGGACCAGAACATGACCATATCCTGAATAAGTAGAATTGACGATGCGATAATAAACTTATGATAATTCCCAAGCTCTCTCCCCACGTTACTGGCCATGACGAGTTCAATATAGCGCCTAGCATATAAAGGATTGGTCTGTAGAAACCGGAGATGATCTCCTTGTAGAGCTTCTCTTGTCTTGGCGACATTCAACACAGAATTAATGTCAAAAATGGGCGGCACCAAGAATGGCTGGTCCAAATAGCAGGAAGCTGCTCCCGGCTTGTTATCAAATCGTCTATTTAACGTCATTGAGCCGCATTTGGAGATTTCATCGAATGAGCTTGTTTGGCTTTCCATAGAATAGCCAATTGTGGAACCAAGAATTCGCTCAACCGTGGATCGAAGGAATGAAAGAAGATGTGCTTGTGCCTCGAGAATGAGGATTGCTCTTGGAAACTTGACAGACGTCCATCTATGTGCTTCTCCACTTTTCCATTGCGTCAGCGTTCCATATGCCGAACCCGTCAGAATTATGCTATGGCTGTTTTAATCGAGAGCCAGAGAGCCTATGTCCCAATGTTTGTCAAGGATGAAATTATCATACGGAGCCCACTGCTCAGGGGAATGCTGGGTGCGATTTTGCAACAGACTCAAAAACATCACAGGGTTTTCGATTAATCCTTCCAAGTTTATGTAAGGCAGTAGACATGCATTACGATACTCTCGCATATACCGACTTAGTGTGATGTCTGCGCTAATCCAGTCATCGGGAGGAAGTGTAGCCTGAAACGCTTTATTCAGGTGTGCAAGAGGCCACCGATGCGGATACAAGTTGGGATCAATATCGCGTAAGAGGGCCTCGCGTTTATTGCGACTCTTCTTCTTCCATCTCTTGATTATTGAATCTCCATTGTTTTGGCATTGTTGTCGCAGATAGACTAGATTCTTACTTATGTCTGTGGCAAATTCCGCAGCCTTCTGTCGAGCTTCAACGTCAGCAAGTACAAAACTATACGTCGTCATTTGGTGCTTTTGAGCTTCTTGAGACAGAAATTGTTGGACAAATTCTGAGCATTCGCACGGAGGTTCGAAACAATGTCGATAACACCAGAATACTCCTTGGCGACGCGTGTAAATTGGTCGGTACGTAGGATAAGAAAGCTTAGCACGCCAGATTCTGAAGGAAGTTATGTTAGCAGAGATGAGGCACAATCACAGAGAGAGAGCTCACTCTTGCCGCGCTTCGTCGTCATCTTTACGCAGCTCCTTAATCTTCCAGACCATACTATTGATTGTGAAATCTTTGTCCGATGAAAATGAAATCACCAGAACTACAAAATGCGCCCTTCGGCGAAAAGAGGTTTTTTGTGTTTGAAGTAGACGGTGAAGAAATTTTCAGACAGATTGGCAAACGAAGTAAAATCTAAGTTAGAAATTATCTGTTGTATAGTATTCCAAGCTAATAAAGCATACCGCGAAAAAGTTGAAGTGTGGTAGCAGTAAGGCAAAATGAAAAGAAGTCAAAATAAAGTGAAGCGAAAATCACTGCCAGTGAAAACAACAGATAGTGAATCATCATTCATCCTATTTGAAAGAGAAAACAGTGGCAATTCAACCAAAATACACTGATAAATCGATTGTTAGCAGAACGACTGATTTCGAAAGCATGAACTTTAACTTCTCCAGTACAACATCTAAAAACACTTTTGAGAACAATCGAAAGGGGCCAGATGGATTGCGAAAGAGTTTTGCTAGGTGACGAATTGCTGTTCGTTTTTTTCTTCTCGAGATATCCTTCTTCTGAACTTCACTAGCAATATGCCACCGACCCCAAGGATGAGTTGAACCAATAGATTAGGTATGTTTATTAATCTAGACTTTGTAGTTACTACTTGCCTATATTGTTGCAGCTACAATATCAATATCAAATTCGAGTGAACAATATATCATCGTCGTTGTCATTTCGATGAAGTTATGATCTAGATTTTACAAAGTTTGTGTGAGGAATCTTTTCACAAAGTAGCATTATAATGGCATTTTGGCTTTGCTGCGATCTTCCGATTATGAAGTTGAGCATCAACTAATGAAACACAACTTGCATGACTGTCGTTGTCATTAATCACTTTGATATCGAGGAGGACGTTAAATTTAGTCACGGAAGAATGATCAACCGATTTATGCTTTGTCAGCAGGCTGTCTTAATTGAGGCGAACTTGATTAGAAACGACCTCATACACCTTTCATCGACCTCACACAATATCAATTAATACATACTGAGACAATCTTATACATTAACATCAATGACCAGTTATATCGAAATAACAGTCTCACTTACTTCATTTCATCCTACTTGATGCAAAACCAAGATCGAGATTGAAATCAAAGTATCACGATGAACAATGCCAATATTCAAGTGAAGCATGTTGAATCTACGGACGATGCCAATGCTCATTCCAATCCAAAGCATGCCAAACCTATGGATGATGTCAAATTTCGAGTACAGTCTGCCGAAACAAACTATGGCAAAGGGGGCTTCCATCCCATACATCTCGAAGATACCTTCAAGCATGATCGCTACAAGGTCATACACAAATTAGGACATGGAGGATTCGCGACGGCATGGCTTGCGCGAGATACTAAGCGAGAAAGATATGTTGCTTTAAAAGTTCTTGCAGCACGATTGTCAAGTACTTCAAAAGAGGTTGACATGTTACGTCGGATGAAGTCAAGGCGAGTGAAGTCTTCTTGAAATTAACAAATCACATTGCGAAACCCAAGATTTCAACCGCAAATTTCTCATTGGTGCTCTATGTTATTCCGTACTTAAAATCCAGTTTCGCATTCAAGACTTTTGCTTGCGTTGACTAATTTTGCATCTTATCAGTCCCGAGCATGACGGAAGATGTTACGTCATGTCTTTGCTAGATCATTTCACCCACAAGGGCCCAAATGGAGACCATTTATGCTTGGTCTCTGAAGTTGGAGGACCTAGCATCAAACAGTTCAATTCTTGTCCAGGTGAATGTAAAGGAAGCCGACGGTTGGAAGCGTCTGTGGCAAGGAATGTTTGCTTGCAGGCCATACATGGCTTGAAATATATCCATAGCACCGGTGTCGTTCATGGAGGTTTGCAATGCCATATAAATTCCTTCTTACTTTCGATCAGCTCACCATAAAATTAGATATTACTCCTGCCAACATTCTGCTACAGCTTGCCAACATCGATGAGTGGACCGAGGAACAAATCTATGAAAGACTAGGTGTTCCTCAGAAAGAAGAGATTATATATACCAACTCCAAGCTTCCAGCAACTGATTCTTCCTTTCCTGATTATACCGTTGCTCCAATTAACATGAAGGAGGTAAATCCCAAGTGGATAGCAAATGACATCGTAATAATCGATTTCGGTATCGCCTTTCTCCAAACAGCCCCATCGTTTGACCTTGGCACGCCCAAAAGCTATTGTGCACCTGAATTCTTGTTCGGTTGTTACAGAAGTGTCGCTTCGGATATATGGGCTTTAGGATGTACGACTTTTGAGATTCGTACAGGATCTCGGTTGTTCAAATATGATGGCATTCCTAAAAGGGACGAGATGTTAATAGCTGCAGTGAGACTTTTAGGCACCCTCCCTGATGAATGGTGGGCTGCGTGGAAAGAAGGTCTAAAATGGTATAAACAACAAACAGAAATTGATGCAAGATCAGCAGGAAATATACTTGATCAAATTTTGCAGACCGGTACACACGATGGTGATTCTCCTCCTCACAGACAAAAGCTTAGAAACGAAGCGTTGGAATTCATCGAGCAATTCAAGGAGCGTCCTCGGAATGACATGCTCGATGGAACAGATCAACTCGTGGAGATGGCGGAGAAGTTGAGAACTAGCGAGGCGGATGCTATTCTCAAGTCAGTGAATGCTATTGACCAAGGAATATCTGTTTCTCATTCCAACAAAGCCGAAAATGGTTCCGCTGAGGAATCTCCGTCAAATCCAAAGAGTTCCGAAGACAAGAGTTCGGAATTCAAGAGTTCGAAATCCAGGAGTTCAGATGCTAAAAGCTCGGAAAAGACACCATCTTCTGAGGGACTATCAACAGGCCGATCCCCTCAAAATAGTTTCACTAAATTCTCCGCACTGGCAGAGAAACCTAAGCCGAAAACCTCTGCCAATCTGTCCGATTCAGAAGATAATGAGACTCAGAGTATGGCAGCTTCTACTGAGGTCGAACGTTGCGGTCCTGAACATTCTCATAGTTACCTTGAGCCATCCGGCATTAAGATATCTACTGCTGAAGCAAGAATTTTCGAGGATTTACTCCGAAAGACCCTCAGATACCTACCTGAGGAACGAAGCACTGCTCTGGAATTATCGAAACACATTTGGTTCTCTGATATATCCAAAGAGACCGACTAAGGCTCGCACAAGTTGCATGTTCTGTAAGTTGTTTGAAACCCCATTCTACTTGCAGAATTGGTTACAGGGTTTGTGATACATATATCGCCCATTTGTCCTATCATTAACCTCACAAGCCTTCATTCAAAATTTCCCGTTATGCACCAAGCTACATTATTTATCCACGGTGATCTGTAGGGGTGTGTCCTGGGTAACGACTACCGCTTTAAAACCGAACAAGACGGATTCCCGCACGGAGAAATCGATCCTAATTACTACAGACGTTTTCATCATGGCCTCCATCAAACGAACGGATCTTTGATTATCTTATTTTTGTGATTTGAAATGGAAAAAAATCTTTGTACAAATGTTTCTTTGTGGAGGAAACGGCTTATGACCTACCTTCTATTACCAGAAAAGAAGAGTAAAATTGTTCAAATGCCCTCGCATACGCAGCCTATGCTGATATATTTTATTTTCGGCACTACTTCACTGGATTGAAATTACCTTACTTGTATCTTTTCATTTTTCGCCTCGCTATCTATTATTCTCTATCTCAAGTACTATCAAACATGTACAACGAATATCGTTTGGTGCTATATAGCCGGCAACATAAGAAGATAGACTGAGGATTTCCGCGACTGAAGGAAAAAGTTTGCTATGCGGGAGAAATTTCCTTCTATTTCTAGTTATTGAATCTTCTAGGCTGTGTCTAGCTAGTAACACAACTCACACTTCTGCATGTTGATTATCACACTCCGTTTAGCAAAATTTGAAGTTTGATCTTTCAGTGAAGAAATGGTACTTTCTGCCATTCGACATATGTTTAAATGAAAATCTTGAAGGAAACAATGTGCAATCAAGCTCTGGTAACTACTGTCTATACTATACCGTTATATCAACAGCACAGCGAGAAATCCATCTGCTCCCGCGATTTCACAACCACAAATACAGCTTCCACTAACAACCTCACACCATGTTTTGAACTAGCTGCAAGTTCGATCCTTAATTGCTATCAAGATGCACCGATATAGATATTTGGATCTTGACTAGTCGGTAAGAGATAACTGCTATCAGTACATCTTCATATCCCCTCCGCCCTCTTTCCTCTCACACATACCCACCTGTAAATTTTCCATTTCGATTATCCAATATGAACCTAAGAACTTCCGAGTATAATATCCTCGCGTAAATAAAAGGTCGCGACTTATCTGAGTTACTTGAATATATTACCAATGGCGCTCTATATATCAGTATCCCAAATCTCAAAGAAGCAATTAAGTTTCAATACGGATTCTCATGGTTTCCCACTAATTCCTCCCTGCCTGTTTAACTAACAATTTATTTTGGGTACTTTAACTCATTACCACCTCACCTTTCTGTTTCCTCTTTCCTCTCATCTAGGATCTTCATCACTTGCTGCGATTTCGGCAACACTAATCTTTCTCCACTTTCCTTTCAGAAAGTCTAAAATGTTTATAAAACATCTATTCATCGTTATATCCAACCGTGAATCCATCTCTCTACTCCCATTTCTCAAGCGCCATACTCAAAAAAGGAAGAGCACATCGCGCACAAGAGTCAAACCTTCAATTTATGTTTATTCAACCGCTGACCAACCCATAGATTAACAAGATGTGGGAAGAGAGTAAAGATCTAATTCCATTCCATTCCATATTTTCAAGAAATGATCCAAATAGCTATTTCAAATGCACTTCATAATTCCACGCGCCCCGTATTCCTCACCTTGCATTTCCACGACTGTTAACCAACACACAAATAAGCCAGTCTAGAAAAGAAGATCCAAGAAATGCACCGCTTGATGTAAGCATGTAGACAGGCAGAAGAGCTATGCTAACCAGCGCTCGCTTAACAATCATTTAATTTC